TTCAAATGCCACTCTTCCCTTTTGTGCTTAAATCACTTGAATCTGAGCCTCTGTCCCACTTGCCTTACAGAGATTGCCATCTTTGTTTTATTTCTCATCCCAAAGTGCTTCTTAGGCGATGCCCCTTGCTGGTGGTGGCTGGGTTTCTCAACATTAGCTGAGTCCAGACCACTGCTTTGCCTCTATGCTGGTCACCTCTACTGTCTTGACGCCAACTTTCTGCTGGCTAAGCTGTTTTTTCCTGTGCTGTGCTATCCTGTGGGCAGGGGGAGGGTGTGCAGAACCTAAGGATTTAAGGACCTGAAAATAGCTGCTAGCTAGAGTTGCTCTTCCGGTCTGCAGTTCTGGGCCCTCCACAGAATCCCATTTTGGATGTTTGTCTTCCTGGCCTCTGATCTGGAGGGAGAGGGAGCATTATCATGTTAGTTCATGGTGACTCTCAGTCAGAACGCTTGAGTTTTAATTCTGATTCTGTCACATATTACCTACTAATCTTTCAACAAGTTACTTAACCTCCTTATGCCTCAGTTTCCTTCTTTGTAAATTAAGAATAATAATAGTAACTCCCACATAGGGTTGATGTAATGATGGAAAGATTTAGTACTTGTAAAGTAGTTATAACAGTGCTTGGGACATAAAAGAGCTCAGAAAGTGTTAATTTCTTTTCTTTTCTTTTTTTAAAGATTTTATTTATTTGTTTTCAGAGAGAGGGGAAGGGAGAAAGAGAAACATCAATGTGTGGTTGCCTCTCAAGTGGCCCCCACTGGGGACCTGGTCTACAACCCAGACATGTGCCCTGACTGGGAATCAAACCAGCAACCCCTTTCTCAGCCCATGCTCAATCCATTGTGCTACACCTGCCAAGGCTCTTTTTTCTCCCCTCCCCTCCCCTCCCCTCCCCTCCCCTCTCCTCCCCTCCCCTCCTTTTCTTTTTTCTATCCCTTTCTCTTCTTTTCTTGTAGTCAATATAGCTTCCTCTAACAGGAGTTCCTTCCACATCTGCATGGTGTCTAGGACACTTTCCTTTGGGTTCTGTGAAAGAGCAGTCGCTACCTTATCCCAATCTCCCAAGGCCTCTTTATTCTACAGTAGTTGCAGGTTTGATCCCCAGTCCAGGTACATACAGGAGGTGACCAGTTGTTGTTTGTCTCTCACACTGCTATTTCTCTCTTTCCCTTCCTCTCTCTCTAGAAATGGAAATGTCCTCAGTGAGGATATAAATAAATAAATAAATAAGAAAATCTCAAATAAGTAATCTGACTTTCCCCCTTACAAATAAACAAAGCCTCCCCAAAAGCAGGAGGAAAATCTTAAAGATTAGAGCAGGAGTAAACGAAATAGAAAAAAGAACTAAATAGACAGACTCAAAAAAACCAAAAATTGGTTCTTTGAAGAGATCAACAACATTGAGAAAACTTAAGCCAAACCGACCAAGAAAATAACAGACAAATTATTAAAATCAGTAGTGAAAATAGGAACATTGCTAACAGTTTCACAAAAATTAAAGAGTATTGTAAGGGAATACTATGAACAATTATATGCCAACCAATTAGAAAACCCAGATGAAACAGACAAATTCCTAGAAAAACACAAACTGAAACTGACTCAGGAGGAATTGGAAAACCTGATAGACATGTAACAAGTAAAGAGATTTAATCAGTAACTTAGACTTTCTGACAAAGTAAAGCCAAGGTCCAGATGGCTTCCTTGGTGACTTCTACTAAATGCTGAATGAAGATTTCAATACTAATCCTTTGCAAACTCTTCCCCAAAAAATGGGAGAATAGTGAACACTTTCCCACTCATTCTATGAAGCAAGTTAGCAAAATCAGACAGATACCATAAGAAATGAAAAATACAGACCAATATCCCTTTTAAAATGCAGTTGTAAAAATGTTCACCAAAATACTAGCAAACTAAATGCACCAACATATAATAAGGGCTAAATACCATGACCAAGTGGGGTTTATCCCAAGAACGTAAGGTTGGTTTGGCACATGAAATTTAACTTATATAAGTGAAATAAGGCAGACAGAAGAAGGGAAGAACCATGATTTCACTCATATGTGAAATATGAAACAAAAAGCAACAAATGACCAAATAAAACAGATACATAGACACAGACAAAGTTCTGGCAGTTACAAGAGAAGATGGAGGGTATGGGAAGGATGAAGAGGTTAATGAGGATTGCATATATGGTTCCAGGAGGAGACCAGCCTTTGGGCAGGGAGCACACAATGGAATATACAGGTGATGTATACCTGAAAGTTGTACACCTGAAACTTATATAATGAGATTGACCTTTGTTATCCCCAATAAATTTAATGTAAGAAAGAAAATTAGTTGATATATACACTGTATTATTAGTCAATAGGACAAAAACCACATAATCATATTAATGGATAGAGAAAAAGTGTTTGACCAAACAAAACATCCTACATAATAAAAACATTAAACAAGTTAGGATTGAGAAGAAACTTCTCAAACCTGGTAAATGACAGCTAAGAAAAACCCACAGCTGACACTGCTTAATAAAAGCTGAATGCATTCTCCCTAAAATCAAGAATAATACAGGATGTCTTCTTATGCCACTACCATTCAACATTGTACTAGAGGTTCTAGCTAGGGTAATTAGGCAAGAGAAAGAAATAAAAGTCTTGCAGATTGGAAAAACAGAAGCAAAACCATCTCTATTTGCAGATGAGATGATATTGTATATATAAAATCCTAAGAAATACACATACACATACACACATAGCACTAATAAATGAGTCAGTGGTGTAGTAAGGTACAAGATAAATATACAAAATGCCAATGGTATACCCATGCAAGAGTGATGAACAAGCCAAAAGAAAGTAATTGTACAATTCTACATATAATAAAATTAAAAAGGAATAAAATACTTAGAATAAGTGTAATAAGAGAAGTGTAAGATTTGTACACTGAAAACAAACTATTATTGAATGAAATTAAAGAAGACAAATAGATGGAAAGATATCTCATGTTCATAGACTTGAAAAGTAAATTTTATGAAATGACAATACTCCACAAATTGATCTACAGTTTCAACACAATTCTTAGCAATTTCCCAGTAGGCTGTTTTGAAGAAATTAGCAAGCTGATCTTCAAACGTATATGGAAATACAAAGCACTCAGAACAGCCCAACCAATCTTTGGGGGGAAGAACAAATTTGGAGGACTCACACTTTCCAATTTCCAAACTTACTACAAAGCTACAGGAGTCAAGACCATACTGTACTGGCAGAAAGACCATCATGTAGACCAATCAAGTAGAACTGAAAGTCCAAAAACAAACCAACACATCTATGACCAGCTCATTTTCAACAAAGGTGCCAAATTAATTTCTTGGGGAAAGAACAGTCTTTTTCAGCAAATAGTACTGAGATAACTGATTATCAATACACAAAAGAATGAATTTGTACCTCTATATCACAGTGTATATAAAAAAAAACCCTAAAAATGGGTCTAAGATTGACATGTAAGAATGATAACTATAGAACTTTTAGAATAAAATATAGGTATAAGTACTCATGACTTTGGATTAAGCAATGATTTCTTAGATATGATACCTAAAGCACAATTAACGAAATATAAATAAAATGAATTTCATAAAAATTTTAAAATTTTGTGTTTGAAAGAATATTATTAAGAAAGAGAAAAGACAGTCAACAGAATGGGAAAATATTTTATAAACTACTTATCTGGTAAGAGATTTTTGTCCTAAATATATAACAGTACTTACAATGCAACAATAAAAGCAAATGATGCCATTTTAAAGTGGGCTAAGGATTTGAATAGACATTTCTCCAGAGAAGACATACAGGTGTCTAATAAGTACATGAAACAATGCTCAACATCATTAGTCATCAGGAAAATGAAAATCAAAACCTCAATAAGATACCACGTCACACTCAGTAAAATCATTACAGTAAAAGACAATAAGAAGCATTGGTGAGGATATAGAGAAATTAAAATCCTCATACACTTTTGGTGGGAGTGCAAAATGGTGAAGCTACTTTGGAAAATAGTTCAGCAATTCCTGAAAAAGTTGAACATCAAGTTACCGTTTTTCAGTTCCAATATTTAGCTACAAATAAACTGGTACACCAGTTCGCTGCAGTGTTATTTATAATAGCCAGAAAGTAGAAACAATCCAAATGTCCATCAGTTGATTAATAGATACATAAAATGTTGTGTATCCATGCAATGGGTTATTAGTTGCCCTTAAAAAGGAATGCTACAAAAATTTGTAAAAAACAAGGAATGACCTACAAAGGGGCTTGAAGGAAACTTGGAATGTGGTAGATGTTCTGTGTCTTGATTGTCGAGGCAGTTTCATGACTGTAAGTTTGTGAAAAATCAACTGTACATCAAAAAAAGGTGACTTTACTATTTGTAAATTATATCTCAATAACCCCTCCAAAAGCATTACAATAAATCCAAAATTAATTGCATATAAAAAAGAGTAAGGTAAAAGAAAGAAAAAAGGGATACTACAACATGGATGAACCTTAAAAAATCATGCTAAGTGAAAGAAACCAGACACAAAGGCTACATGTTATATGGTTTCATTTATTTGAAATATCTAGATTAGGCAAGTCTGTAGAGACAGTTGTTTCCATGGACTGAGGAACAGGGCAGGCAATGGAGAATGACTGCAAATGGGTATGAGTGATGAAAATTTTTGGGAATTAGATAGCTGTCATTAAAAGCACCCCTTTAAAGTTAAGTAGACCTTACTATGTTCGTTACCTTTAACAGAAATTTGTGGTGCTTATGTACTAGCCTTGTGCTAATGCCACTACAACCTAATGAAGTAGGTACGTATATTCTTCAAAAGAGGAACAAACCTAATGTGTAGACGATTTAACATGTTACTTCATATTTCAAACCTTATTTCTATACTTCTGAAATGGGAGTAACTTCCAATGTATCACAGTTTTAATAACATATAACACTTTCATTTGTTTTTAACACAGGACCCCCTGGAGCAGCTGTCCCTCCACCTGTAGGCTACCCAGGAGGCTTCCCTGTGAGATATTATAGTCTACAGCAGCCCAGTACCTTCCCCTATGGCCAGCCAACTGGTGGCACCTACCCTATCCAATACCAGCCTGGAAAATATCCGGTGTCATATCAATCTGCTCCAATAACATGGATGCCAGGGTCAGCTCCAATACCTGACTGCCCTCCTGGCCTGGAATACTTAACCCAGGTACTTCACACAAATCCAATTTATATTACCTAATGAAGTATGACTGGGGATCCAACAAGAGACAAAAGGCTGAACTGATAAAGGCTGTGGATAAAAGGATGGGTCAGTGATGGTAGATAATCTGGTTTGTGAGACTCTAAGAGTGATGGTGTGAATTTTAGAAATGTGAAAGGAGGCCAAAGAGTATAGGCATGTTTGTGGTGGGATGAGTTTGGTTTTTGTAAAGGATACATGTTGAATTTTAAGACACTCATGATGTCCTGTTGAAAGCAGTTTAAAAGATAGGAAATGAGTATAAGAAAAACTACCAAAGATGCTAATCAGGAAGCCATTTGCTTGGAAGTAGAGTTAACATGAAGAAAAGCAACATAAAAAAAAACAGAACAGTGGATGGTGAGTGAATTACTATGTCTTAGCCCATAGCCTTTTCTCATCATCCATAGTTTTCATCATCCAGCCTGTCATTCCCAAAAACATGCAATGCATATAAAAATAGGGGACCTAACAGAGGTATTGCTTCAGGCCCAGTTCCTGAGTACCCCTTCACATAGTCCAGCAACTCCATAATTTCCACTTACACAGACATTCTGGAGCTACCAGGACATCCAGGTTAGAAATGAGCAATATACCAAGTTGGTGTACCAAAATGTGTATTTCCCAAAATCCATATCAAAAGTCAAAAAGATTACTCAATGAAAGTGAGAAAACACTAGTATAGAAAATCCCTTAGAAACTACTGAATCATGTTTCACTTTAAAAAAAAAAAGTGTTGAAATACATTATAAGTAAGGGACTTGCCAATTCAATACATGTCTTCCCGTATAGTCAACCAAACATTCCTTGAAGTTGGTTAAGTTTTTCTTTTCAATTTTATGCAATGATAGAGACTCAGTTAATCTTGTGTATTGAAAACCATTGGAACAACATTACACTATTTGATACTTGCAAGCCAGTACAGTTGGATCAGGAAAATTTGGATTTTACATGAACCAAAATTTTTATGAAATCGTTGTTTTGACCAAAATAATGACAAAATGCAAAACCAGTCATTCGGGTAAAATATTAGAGTAAACCCTTATATCATTTTAAAAGCTTATAAAATTTTTAAAAGTTAATCAAGTTTAGAGTCTTTTTTATACTCAATGATAAATAACTGAAATTGTCTTTGGAAATTCAAGATTTGGAGTCATTTCTCTTTTGTAAATGTATAACTTAAATATTGTTCATTTAAATATTTTAAAAGTTTCTCTTTTTTTAATTACTCTGATCAAAGTTAAGTTAACATATTTCATGAATTCTGTTTTTCCTTTCAGGAATGTTTTGAGTTTAAAAAAGTGAAAAACAAAACAGGTTTGGAGCCAGACAAGCCTAGTTTTTAATTCTAGTTCTACTCCCTCCTTACTCTATAACTTGAATAAGGTTTGTAACGTGCCCAGTATTTTTGGGACACAGGGCTCAACCAATAGATGATAGCTGTGTCATGTTATAGTTAACACACCGTGTATGTGAGCAGAAGACATAGAGCCCATCATCTTCACCATTTTCTTTATCCTAGCCTTTTTGCCATTGCTTGTGCAGGCAGCTGAATCTCCACCAGGGCTATCATGACTATAGTATCTAAAGTAGCAGGGTTATATTATTTCTAGAATATTGGCTTGGCCAGTGACTCCACCGGTTTGTTAGAGAGCTGTTCTTTAATAGCCTTGGTATCTTACTGGGCAAACTTCTTCCACATTAATGGGCATGGTGTCCTTAGAAAACCTTGCTCAGCAGTGAATGCTTTTACCATGTGGTAAATATTTTCACTTCTTAATTCTAGGTTTTAACATTCTAGATTTTATTAAGGGGCTATAACACACCTTAGTGGCCACTTTTGATATTTTGTAAAGGATATATGTGCATACATGTTTAGACCCCTCACCTGATGGTGTTTTTATGTAATAAAAACATTTTGAATGAAAGATTATATATTCCTGTACTCTCCTATCATCAGTCAAACCCTAAAACATTCATGTCTAGTTATTTTAAATTTTATTTATCACCACATTCATGTATTTCTCATTATGTAATATATTCAATAAGTATTTTGTGAAATATGGTGTGTCAGCAGTATTCTGGACTCAGGGATCAGGAATAATCTAATGATCTATATTATCTAAACTTATACACATATGATCAGTCTGTCCTTAAGGAGGTTTTTTTCTCTCTTTTTCAAGGAAGTTGAAGAGATACAGGCCTATTAAACTGCCTTTCTTTAGAGTAAGTCCTAGGTAGAGTTAAGTTTGAGGTTTATTGAATGGTATTTCCAGTCTCTTTTTTGAAGGGATCCCACTCCGGAGTTTCCCCTCCTTTGTCTTAATCCATGTCGAATTCTTCTACCCTGTGAGACCCTCCTGTTACTGAAGTGTGCATACCTGGGGAAGGTCTTGGTGTTTAGTAGCTCAGGTGAATGAAAAATCTGCATATTAATCTCTCAGAAGTGCCTGGAAAATGATATAAAATTGGACAACTCCTGTGTGCAGTAGAATCTACCTGGCTGATTAGCTCTCCTGAAGCCACTGAGACAATTGCTTTCTTTATGGCGGGTCCTTGTTAAACTGTCCTGAACTTCCTGAGCACCTCCAGTCTGTGGGTGACATGTCAGAGAGACCAGTGAGTAGGGACTGAGCTAGGGACAACCTGTGTCAACCCAGCTGCTTCTAGATGCTGTTACTGTGGTGGGGGGTAATTTTCTGATATTTTAGACCAAAGTTTTAGTCTTTTACAGTGGAACCGGAGAAAAGTGTCTTTTCTCTCAACAGCTCCAGTAACCACATGATCAGGTGCATATAGGCTGATTCCATGGGGTCAAACATGTTTTATTCTGTTCAGTTTCAAAAAGATATTTTGGTATTGATTGATAAATTTTAATACCTATCTCATCAGTTTCTTTTCTAGTGCTGATTTAATTTAATTCTGATATTTCTATCTTTCCTAATTGCTTTGTTCTCTCCCAACAGTTGGACAACATACATGTTCTTCAGCATTTTGAGCCTATGGAAAGTATGTATAATTCAGTAGTGTTTTTCAGCATTTGAACCAGGTAGAAATTTGTATTGTCCAATTCCTAGTTCCTTACTTCTACTGATCAGGTTTTAGTGATTTGGGAAAGTAATAAAGAGAAATATTTTGTATACTTTTATCTATTTATATGTCACACATAAGCTCTTAGACTTGAACAAGATTTACATTTTATGTAGACAATTGCCCTACCCTTTACCTACCCAGCTCTTCCATGTTAACTTTCATGAATGACAAAAAGAAGGAGCCAAAGTTCTAAGTTACTTAGTTGAGGGCACCAAAGTCAGCTAATCAGTGGCAGAACTGGAAACCTGCTGAGATCTAGCCCAGTTCCCTTTTTTTGGAAGTAGGAAGAAATCACAATACACTCATATAATGTCTGTTTTCAGTTCATTCTCGCAAGATTACTGACCCTCACTGTACCAGATCTACACATTCCTTTGGCCACATAGGGCCTTTGACTTTTCTGGGTTTGTTGTCTTACTTGCAGTTAATATTGACCCTAATCATCTCAGCATATTTTATGAGGTGATTAATTTATGGTTTCATATATAATTTCATTTATATGTTTCTGTAATTGTTTTCTGAATTCAAATACTCTAGGAGTATTGTTTCAATCTTTGATTTTATGTGAAAGTTTTTAAAACCATTTTACACTGAACTTTTAAAAAGTTCAGTGTAAATGAACTCTGTTTTAAATTTTTTTAATTATATAAATACTTATACAGCATACAAATTATTTTAATATTCTATTCTAATCAATCATATATATTTTATGTGAAATTTTATAAAAGCTATTTTGCTTTAAGCCCCTAAAAGAACTTATATTTTATTTTTTATTAAAGTATAATTAACATACAATATATTAGTTTTAACTGTACAACATAGTGATTCAACATTTATATTCCTTATGATGTGATCACTAGAATAAGTCTAGTAACCTTCTGTCACCATACAAAGTTACTACAATATTATTGACTATTTCCTCTCTGTGTACTTTACAGTTCTGTGACTTTTTTTGTTTTTAATAACTGGAGGTTTGTACCTCTTATTCCCCTTTTTGAGGCCCACTTCAACTACTTCTAATTTAAGATGGTTTCCTCATTTTATCTTGTAGTGATGACGAGATTGGAAACTAATAATAAATATGATATTAAAAACAACCTGGGCCAGATGGTTTACGTTGTAATTGAAGATACAGACGACTTTTCCAGGAATGCTTATCGGACACTGAGGCCCTTCATCCTCCGGGTCATGGACTTCACGGGCCGAGAAATCATGACAATGCAGAGGCCTTTCAGATGCACCTGCTGTTGCTTCTGTTGTCCCTCCACCAGGCAAGAGGTCAGAGGATGGAAGTCTAATCATTGTCTCTTCCTGATCCAACTCCTCACATATGGTTGTGCTCCTTCCAAAGCTACACAGGAGAGGGTTTTCACTGGTTCTGCGCATCAAAAAGCAACAAGATATTAAGGAGGGAGGAAGCCTCATTGTTTCCCTAAAGGAAAATTAAATTACAAAGGGCTTTTTCCTGTGGGTTTATGCTCTTAGGTGCTAATGAGTGGATCAAGCAAAAGTATTTCATCAGTGACCACAATTCTATGAATTGTGTCTACTGAATTAGAAATTTACCTATCACTTAGGAGTCACAAGCATTAATCTAAGTGTACCAATGTATCCTTAGATAAAATATGCTAAGGTAGACATAGGCTTTTAGAATTAGAAAAGACTTTAAATAACTTTACACTGCCCATCACAACACAAACCTTGGCTATAGGTAAAGAAAGGGTGTCTCAGAAAGATGGAATACCTGTGAATGGTGTTACACCTGAGAGGTGGCAGTGCTGAAACTGGAAAACAGACGCTCTGAGTTATAGTTCAGTTACTGTTCTGTGACCTGTGTAGCTCTAGGAAAGTGTTTTGCTGAAGGAAAAAGAAAAGCAAGGTCCTGACTGTTATGCCTCAGTGGATTGAGTGCAGGCCTGCACACCAAAGGGTCATTGGTTTGATTCCCAGTCAGGGAACATGCCTGGGTTGCAGACCAGGTCCTTGGTTGGGGCATGTGTGAGAGGCAACCGACTGATGTTTCTCTCGCTCTATTTCTCCCTCCTGTCCCCGGTTTCTAAAAATAATAAATTAAGTCTTTAAAAAAAAAAAGAAAGGAAAAGTAGGTTTAGAGAGGGACCCAAGAGAATTTGAATTTCAGATATGCCACTTATTTAAAGTTGGACAATTTATTTTTAACCTTTTTGGGCCTCACTGTTGGACACTGTGCAGAACAATGCCTTCTTGATTACAGGAATATTTAAATATTAAATGTTAACTACAGCATTTATTGTAATAATTTATTCAACCCTTTCTGTGCCTTGATTTATTCACCTGTAAAATGGAGATATTAATAGCACCTATCTCATGGATAATTGTCTTGAGGATTAAGTAGTAAGTAAATGTCAACTATTTAGCACAGTGCTTGGAAAATAGTATAGAGTTAAATGGATATTAGTTATTATTGTCAAATATCTTTTTCCTTTAGCATCCTTGTCCTGTGTGTGTGTGTGTGCGTGCATGTATTCTTATATTTGAGGTGAATTTCCATCTCTTATCCTTGATGCTTTTGTTTAGTAAGCATTTTTTCTGTATTCACGAGTTGGGCCTTGGGAATCAAAGCCTATAAGTGCCACCTTCTGTGGGGGGGCTCCACCCACAGGGCCCCCCCAGCTGCCACAGATGAGAATAATTCTACCAAGACATGATCTGCTTGGGGAGGAAAGGTAGCCAATCTCTCAAAGGAGAAGGGCCAAGAGCCTTTCCCTCAGTGGGCTTTTATTGGGTTCATTTTGCACAGGAATACAAGCTCATTAATCATTGTCAGGCAGAAAGGATCAAATAATAGATAAGATACAAAGAACTCCGAGGGCCTGTTCTGAGTTAGGGTCTGTTAGCTAAAGGGCTACAAAACTTTGGGAAACAAACTCATTTTCTGCTCTGACCTTTATCATTTAATTAAGAGCATTCTTAGCAAAGCAGGTTTCACAGGATTTTATGTATTCATTCTTAGGCCTGATCACCCTGGGGAACCCACCCTTTCCAGACCAGGGCTGCACCACCCTCTGTCATTGTTTTAGGCTTAAGTCAAGCAGGGGAAGTAAGGCAGCCAAGAGATTAGGAGACTTCTCACAGACCGAATGAGGACTCAGGCTATGTCAAAGCTGAGGGGCAAGGGTCTATCACCCCCTTTTGCTATAGCCCCCCAAGTCCTTCCCCGGGCCTCCCCATGATCATGCCTGTCTTAGGTCATCTCTCCCTTGAGGAACCTTACTTGTCATTAGCTAACTTATCAAGCATTGGGGGCCAGGCAGGGTGAAGTAAAAGGAGCAGAAGCGGTGCTCCTGCCAGGGAGATAAGCTTTGTCTCCTTAGTGGCTTATGGTCCGAAGGTTGCTCACTCAGCCTTAGCCATAGCGGGGTTAGAGCTTCTGAAACCAGGCAGGGCAGTTCCCAACAACCTTCTAAGACCACAGTTACCCAGGGCAGGATAGAGCAAATCAGTATTACAGCCTTAGTCCAATATATGGGATTTTGTCCCACAACATTATCTAGGTTTTTTCTGAGTTCTCCAGTTTGACCTATGTTCATGTGCATGTGTGTGTGTGTTTAGTTCTGTGCAGCTTTATCAGCCATGTAGATTCCTATATCCACCACCATAATTCAAATACCAGTTTTATTACCACAAAAATCTCTTTCATAACTACACCTCCCTCCCTCCCTCTCTTCATCCCTAACCCCTAGCAACCACTAATCCGATCTGCAGCTGTCATTTAAGAAACAGAATCACAGAATCATATAGTATGGAACCTTTCAAGACTGTTTTTTTTTCCACAATATAATTTACCTTGAGATTCATACAAGTTGTGGCATGTATTAATAGTTTATTCCTTTTTATGACTGAATTATATGGATTCTTTTAACCCTAATTTATTTGTATGCAGGGGTTTTTTTCTACCCCAGGCCTAAACTTATATGAAATCTCTGTCCTAGAAAGCTATCAAATTTATGTGTTTGTATATGTGTGTGATTGTATATATATGAACAATAATATCTTCATTTGACAGTCCACGAAGCTGTGTAGTCTTGCCCCATAATGAGACACAGGGGACTCAAAATTCTTAGGAAAGTATATCTGACACCAAGAAAATCATCAGTAGAGCTCTTAGTTTGGTCTTTTACCAAATAATTTAATTTTGTGACTCTTTTGTTATTATTAAATATGAATGTCTTAGTTCTTCCCAAAGGAATATTGCAAAGGTAATTAGCTGAAAGGGAGTATTGGACAGTATTTTTAAAACTCTTTTAAAAACAGCTTTTTATACCCATAACAAATTCGGTTGTTTTCCCAATGTACAGTTTTCAGAATACTTCTTTTTGGTTTTGTTTTCTATTCTAAATGTCATGTCTGAGATTTAAATCTAAGAAGTGAGGTTTGATTGTTTTGTGAGTTGTGCCAGAAGACATAAGACACAGTGATCTTCCTTACAGCACAGAGAGTGGCACGAGCATCAGCCTGTTTTTGTAGGTCCCCTTGTCTCCATGTTCTATGGGGTTGACTCAGAAGAGCTCCCATATACAGCTGTGGAACACTAAGCCCAGAGAGCTGGCCATTATATGATAAATAAGTAGAAACTTTGTCCTAAAGGGGCATATAACCTCATCTCTCAAGGCTGTTCACTAAAATACAAAGCTAAGAAATAACCCGGGTAAAATAGAAGACTCTTTCCCAGTAACAATTCCCCCCGACCCCAAATGGATTGAGGACACATCTCGGTTGAGTGTATGTGCACACATACCTATGTAACATCCTCCCCTCTGTCATGCCTCATTGGCAGCTGGAGGTGCAGTGTCCTCCCGGCGTCACCCTCGGCTTTGTTCTGGACCACTGGAACCTGTGCCGGGCGGTGTACAGCGTCCAGAACGAGAAGAAGGAAACTGTGTTGCGCATACGTGGGCCGTGCTCCACCTATGGCTGTGGTTCGGATTCTGTGTTTGAGGTAAACGAATGTAATGATAATATCTCCACATCTTTTTTCTACGTGAACTAACAGACCTCAGATTGATTTGGTTTTAGATGATTTTTCATGTGAATGAATAGAGTAGTATGAAGAGTTAGCTGGTTGACTTTATATGATTTTCAAATTATTGTTAGTGGATTGCTTAATGTTTTCCAAAATGTGAACTCTATTTTTGTGATTTTAGTGTTTGGTAAAGCTAAGAGAAACCATTAGAACATTAATTCTGAGAGTAAATAGCCTGTCATAATCTATGTATTTTATTCTTGGTTGTATTTAATTAACCATTTTTTATCAAAGATTTCCAGGTTCAGACAATAGGTCCTGAGTGGTGGAAAGTGCCCTCCATCTCACAGAACACGGAGGCACCCCCAAGGCTGTGCACATAGCTTCTTTGCAGGACAGAAGTCTGTGTCCTCAAGAAATAGGATAACACTGATAACATGAATAAAAGTCAATAGGCTTATAACATTTTCTCAGGAAAAGAAAAATCTTTTTGCTTTGCTTTTATCTCAATGGGTAATCATATGACTCTGACAAAGGAGATTACTAGAAATATTTCCTGAGCCTCTCAGAGTCCTTTCTGAACACCTTGCAATTCAGCAAGCTCATCATCTAAACTACTCTTTCCAGTAGTTCCCATGACCCCCAATAAACTTTTCTTAGTTCTCATTTTACATCACCAAGTCATCAAGCATTTCTTATTTTTTAAAAGACCATGTAGAGAGATAGAAAATATAGATAAGCCAAATTGCAGGGGCAAAATCATTCTGTGTATAGGGTCATTCTGATCACCAGAAGTCAGTATATAAGTAGAAGCTGATGTCCTTCAGGATCCTGGCATAATTTAAGAAGACAAGGTTGATTTATTTGGCACACAAAAGCTTGAGTGATTATAAGGAGTTTGTGAAGTGCACAAAACTGTGCCTCATTGCTTTTGCTCAGTTGTTTCCCTAGATTGGAAGAAATTCCCTTCCAATCCTTGATTCCCACCCTTTGCTATAGGGAGAAAAAATTCAGAACCAGTTCAAATCATACCTCCCAACTCATCTAAGAACTAAGAAAGAACACTGGCCTGAGAAGTGTAAGATATAAGATTCCAACTCAGTTATTGGCCAGCTGCAAGGCACTAAGACCTTCCTGGCCATAGTTTCCTATTTGAAATTATATTCTAATATATTCATTTCCTGCACTGTGTTTGTGGTCAGTGAAGCTGCCTCTAAAATAGAAGAATAAAACATGTATTATAACATTTTTTGGCCATCATACAGTCAGATTCTTATCTTTCTAGGTCACATCCCTGGATGGTGTCTCCAACATCGGCAGTATTATTAGGAAGTGGAATGGTTTGATGTCAGCCATGGGCGATGCTGACCACTTTGACATTCGCTTCCCATTAGACCTGGATGTGAAGATGAAAGCCATGATTTTTGGAGCTTGCTTCCTCATTGTAAGCCTTTTCCTTTTTAGTTATCTTGAGAGATTTATTCTTTCTAATGAAAAGCAACATGGTAGAAAGGCAATAGCTTTGAAACTAGACCAACTTCTGTCTCTACCACTTACTAGTTACATGTTTTATAAAGTGTTTAACACCAGCTTCAGTCTCCCCATCTATCAAATAGAGATAAAAACACTTATAATTTCAGTTTATAAATATTAACTATTCAATATCATATGAATGAAGGGGAAGGAGAGTAGAAGATACTAGGCATCAAATGGGTGTATTGTCAACAATGCATGTCACTGATTATTCTTACTACTTAAAAATGCCTGTCCTACCCTGGCTGGGTGGCTCAGTTGGTGGGAGCATCATCCCATACACCAACTGTTTGTGGGTTTCATTCCCAGTCCAGGCACATGCCTAGATTGTGGGTTCACTCCTGGTCAGGACATGTACAGGAAGCAATCGATGTTTCTCTCTCATCGATGTTTCTCTCTCTCTCTCTCTCTCTCTTCCTCTCTCTTCAAAATCAATAAAAAATACATTCTCAGTTGAGGATTTTAAAAAAGGCCTGCCCTGTGACTTTTTAATGAAATTAAATAACTCTAAAGCTGATATCCTTTCCTTCTACCTTACTGTCAATGCACTATTGGTGTTATACCATGTTATACTTATTAGTTGTAATTCCCTTGCTGCATTTCTTAGTAATTAGTGGGTAATAATAATAAGTAAAGCATAGAAATAAACTTGATAATACTTACTCTATGAACCTAATTAACATATTGCAATTGGTATTTTTAACATATTTAATATTGCTTATCAAGTTTATCTGTGTTTTAACAATAAAAGTTTAGTTAATTAGTATCCCAAGTGGAAAATATATTGGCTTCCAACAGTTTTAAGTTTATAATTACTAGGTCTTCCTTATAGAGATTTATTAGATTAGGTCCTCCTTATAAAGATTTATTAGATTTATTTACTTTTAACTGGTGTGGAGGATTGCCAGATAAATTATAAATGGCAATATTTATGCACTATGTCAAATTATTTGTTTATATAAATATAATTCTCTCTCCATATACATATTTATGTATATATAAATTCTTTTTCCAATTTCAGGACTTCATGTATTTTGAAAGATCTCCACCACAACGTTCATCAAGATAGATGGACACCGCAAATCACCACTGATGGTTTTAAAAAAAATTAGAAAGGTTGGATTGGGCTTACAGTCAACCCTCAATTATTTGCAGATATATTTACCTGCTTTTGCAGATTATTTTTATTTGGTGTTAGCTTTGCCATGTAAGCTGCAAGTATAAGAACACAATCTAATGTGTGTTTCAATTGAGTATGTGTCTCATTGTCTGCTTTGTAGAATAGGAGTTCATCCTGAAAAAGCTATGACTCATTAACCAAGTAAATATAGATACAAAATGAGCTTGAAAATGCTTTAATATGATATAGGGGAAATGAATTCCAGAGCTCTCATATTAGTAGGTAATGTTGATCGACATAGACTCTTACCAAAGACAGATTTGATTCAAGTTGAAAACAATGATACTCTTCATCTTTAAAAAAGAAAAAAGAAGGTGAGCAGAAATATTATATTTTATTGCACAAGGAACATTTCACTTGTGCACATGGATCAAAGCCTCATTTTGCAAAATTCATAAAAAATTCAGTGGAAAACTTGATTTTATTATAAAATAAAACTTTTTATCATAAGATTTATGTTTTCCATAGCTGTTCTCTCATTTGCTAGCATGGACAATCAGGAGCTGCCTTATATATGAAGACAATGTCAGACTATCAGAAAAAAAGATGACAAGGACCACAGACACTCTAGATCTTTTAACAACTTGGAGACATCACTGGCTTTATAAAAAGCTTACATTTAATACATTTAACCTCTCTTGGTCAGATGTCTTATGTATTAAATATTTTTGGCCAAATCTCTAAGGTTGCTAATTGAGCTGTTGTATCTTGTTTGAAATAACACAGAGGAGGTAACTGTTTTCTTTCAAGAAGATCCCTGATAATCACTGTGCTGTTTTAATCATAAAAGTTGGTGTTTTGTTTTCAAATTTTGAAATATGACAGTCTGCGTTGCATTTTCTAAATTCAGGGATTAGTCTAGCGATCCAGGACGGCAGAGGAGAAAGTAGAAGCTACACTAACCTCCTCACAGGACCAGTCTGGAATGACAACTAAATTGTAGACAAAGCATTCTGAATAACCAACTGAACACTAGCTGGAGAAAGCCTTATAACCATAGACAGACAGAATAAACCACTTCACAACAATGGGACTTGTAGAGACTGCAAAGGAGGTGCAAGAGGACTGGCTGGGATCCCACAGGCAGCAGCTGAAGATGAGGAGGAATATTTCAGCAACCAGTGGGGTTCCCCTGTGAAGTGTGAAGGTTTAACCCCAAACTGGGCTCCCAGCCTACAGCACCAGAGTTGGAAAGGAACCCAGATAACATCCAGCTGTGAAAAGCAGCAGGGTTTCCCTATGTCAGGGAGAGATTGCTGGAGACTCAGAGAGCCTCTTAAAGGGTCAATGCACAAAATTCCATTTGCACCCTCTTATCCTGGGCTCCAGCAGAGGGAGGGCACAGTAGACTAGCGATGACTGAGGAGAGTCTGGGGATGGTGACTCTGCAGAGAGAATTGAAAGAACAGCCACTAGGATCCCTGTGCTGAGTCATTCCTCATACTGCAGGAGCCATCTTTCTCAGGCAGAGCACTCCCCTGCAGATGGCATTAGCCTGAGGGGAAGCAAGAGCCCTACCTGCAGGAATTACTCTGCCCCATCCTGTGGAGCCTAAGCCATGCAGCTGATTATAGCTTGATTAATTTAACAACTGATTGGTTTAATGGCTGATTAGTTTAACAACTAAAATGGACAATACAAAGAAGCGAACAAAAAATGGGAAGACAAAGAAACAGGACCAAAACAGACTTCTGGTCAAGATGGTGGCATAGGCAAACATGGCTCACCTCTTTGCTCAATCACATCAAAATACAACTAAAATATAGAATAACCATCACTCAGGAACATCAGACATCGAGCTGAATGGAAGTCTGACAACTATGGAATTTAAGAAATGACATCCATCCAGACTGGTAGGAGGGGTACAGACACAGAACGGATTGGTCCAACACCCACATGGATAAAAATTCAGGAGGGCTATCTTGGGAGTGAAGGGTCCCAGACCTACACCAGGTACCCCAGCCCAAGATTCCAATGTCAGGAAGACAAGACCCTACAGCTTCTGGCTGCAAAAACTAGCAGGGATTGAGTCAGTGGAAGAAACTGCTAGAGCCCCAACCAGTTCCTCTTGAAGAACCCACACCCAGACTCATGTACTCAGTCCCTCTGAGTTCCAGCATGGGCATAGTAGCCGGAAAGGCACTGTGGTATACAGGGAGAAACTGAAGTGTCTGACATCAAGGCAAGCAGAGGCCATTGTCCCTTTGCTAAACCCTCCCCCACATGGAGCCAGTAAGCTGATGCCATATCTGAGACTTCGTCAACTGCTTAACACTGTTTGACTCACATTGGGATCCCCAAAGGTTCTGCCTCATCCAACATATAGCGCCACCCAAGCTGCCTTTCCATAAGAATGACTGGTCTTAGCTCCTAAATCCTAACAAACAAGCAACAGCTGGCTTCAGTGAGCCCAGTGGAAGCCAGATTAGACTCACAGTTTGGCTGTGCCTGGGGAATCTCCAAGCCCAGCACAGGCAGCAGCCATCTCAGATTGCTTTACAGCTCAGGCAGGGTGCCCCACACAAAAAACAGGTGGGGCTGACCTTGGCCTGCATTAGCCAGGAAACTCCAGGGACCGCCAGAGACCACATCACAGCACCACCACTCAGCTCCTGTACAGTTCATTCACAGATGGTGGAGGTTGGTGGTCAGTAATTACAACCAGTTCTTGCAGCTGACTGGTCTGAGTAAATACCTCCCATTGACCTGCCAATAGCAACCAAGGCTCAACTGTAAGAGGAGGGTGTACTCGGCTCACATGAAGGACATACCTCAAACACCCACATTGGGTGATAGGGGAGGCTGTGCCACTGGACCCTACAGGACATGTACTATATTAGGCCACACTACCAAGACACAGAGTCAAAGCAGTTCTACTTAATACATATAAACACAGGGAGGCTGCCAAAATGAGGAGACAAAGAAACATGGCCCAAATGAAAGAACAGATCAAAATTCCAGAAAAAGAGCTAAATGAAATGGAGATAAGCAATCTATCAGACGGAGAGTTCAAAACACTGCTTATAAGGATGCTCAAGGAACTCAGTGAGGACCTCAGCAGCATGAAAAGACCCAGTCAGAAACAAAGGATGCACTAATTGAAATAAAAACAATAATAAAAACAATGTATAGGAAAACAACAGTAGAGTGGATGAAGCAGAGAATCAAATAAATGATTGGGAACATAAGGAAGAAAAAAAAACAAAACCCAATCAGAATGAGAAGAAAAAAATATTTAAAAAAAATGAGACTAGGATAAGCAGCCTCTGGGACAACTTCAAAAGGTCCAACATTTGCATCATAATGGTGCTGGAAGGAAAAAAAAAAGCAAGAAATTGGAAATGTATCTGAAAAAAGAGTGAAAGAAAACTTTCTTAATTTAGTGAAGGAAATAGACATTCAAGTCCACAAAGCACACAGAGTCCCAATTATGATGGATGAAAAGAAGCTTACTCCAAGACACACGATAATTAAAAGGCTGAAACTTAAAAATAAAGTCTCTTAAAAGCAGCAAGAGAAAAGAAGTTAGTTACCAAATGGTTGCCAAAAGGGAGGAGTATGGGAGAGAATAGGTGAAAGTTAGGGGGGGTGAAGAAGTACAAATATGTAGTTATAGAATAGCCATGGGGATGTAAAGTACAGTATAGGAAATGGAGTAGCCAAAAACTTATATGCGTGGCCCAAGGACATGAATAATGGTGGGGGGATTTCCTGAGGAAGTAGGAGGTGCTGGGTGGAGGCAGACAAAGGGGAAAATCAGGACAACTGTAATAACATGATAAATAAAATGTAACTTTAAAATAAAATCTTGCATCTAAAATAATGAAAGAACGAGAGAATTCTCTAGAAAAACTAGATGAAATAGAGGCAAACAATTTATCAGATAGTTTGCAGAGGTGTTCAGTCTTTTGGCATCTCTGGGCTACACTATAAGAAGACTTGTCTTGGGCCACACATTAAATACAGAAACAATAAGGAAAAATTATTGATGAGAAAAAAAAATTTTAAGTAAGTTTACAATTTTGTGTTGGGCCACATTCATAGCCATCCTGGGCTTATGCAGCTCATGAGCTGTGGGTTGGATACCCATGGTTTAAAGTAATGATTACAAGAATACTAAAAAGCATCAAAAAAGACATAGAAACCATAAAAAAGAATCAGTCAGAAATAAAGAATGCAATATCTGAAATAATACACTAGAAGGAATAAACAATAGGTTAGATGAAGCAGAGGATCACATCAGTGATTTGAAAGACAAGGTGGGAAAAAAAAAAAACCCAGGCAGAACATCTCAAAGAAAAAAGAATTAAAAGGAGGAGAGTTTAACAAACATATTGGACTATGTGAAGTGGAACATCAGCATCATGGGACAGTAGAAGGAAAAGAGAGTGAGCAAGGTATTGAGAACCTATTAGAAGAAACAATGACTGAAAACTTTTCTAATCTGATGAAAGAAAGAGACATACAAGTCCAGGAAGCTCAAAGAGTCCCAAACAAGTTGGACCCAAAGAGGCCTACAGGGAGAGAGATCATAATTAAAATAACAAAGCTCAAAGACAAGGAGAGAACCCTAACAGCAACAAGGGAAAAGCAAGTAGTTACCTACAAGGGAGCACCAATTAGACTGTCATCTGATTACTCATCAGAAAAATTTCAGGCAAAAGTGAATGGCATGAAATGTTCAAGGTGATGAAAAGGAAGGACCTTAACAAAGTTACTTTACTTAGCAAGGCTATCATTTAAAATCAAAGGAGAAATAAAAAGCTTCCCAGACAAGAAAAAGGTAAAGGAGTTTGTTAATACCAAACCAGTATTGCAACAAATATTAAAGGGCTTGCTTTAAGAAGAAAAGAAAAAGAAATTGAGAAAAACAGTCTAACAATAAAATGACACTACATACATATCTATCAGTAATCACCTTAAATGTAAATGGCTTAAATGCTCCAACCAAAAGACGTAGGGTTGCTGATTGGATAAGAAAAGAAGACCCATATATATCCTGCCTCCAAGAGACCAATCTCAGCTCAAAAGATAAACACAGACTAAAAATATAGGGATGGTAAAAGATTTCATGCAGATGGAAAACAAATAAACAAAAAAGATAGGGTAGCAGTACTTATGGCCGACAAAGTAGACTTTAAAACCAAGGCTATAAGAGACAAAGAAGGACACTACATAATAATGAAGGGAACAAGCCAACAAAGGACATTTGCAAACCCAACATAGGGACACCTAAATGTGTAAAGCAAATCCTGATGAATATAAAGGGAGAGATCGACAGAAATACAGCCATAGTAGGGGGTTTTAATACCATTGACTTCAATGGATAGATCTTCCAGGCAGAAAGTCGAAAAGGAGACAGCATACAACACACTAGATCAAATGAATTTATTGATATCTTCGGAACATTTCACTGTAAAACAGCAGAATATACCTACTTTTCAAGTGCA